CCTCCCATCCCCACCTTCCTCCCATCCCCAGCCTCCTCAGACCAGCTCCAGCTCTAACTGAGCCCTATGGAAACCTCTGGCACTGCCCATTCGCACAGCTGCCTCCCAGGCAGCACAATGCCGGAGCACATGCTCCGCTGCATCCCAGTCCCTGCAGGACCTCCCAAGGGAACTTCAGGGATTCTGGGGGCCAGCCCCCACTGAACAGCTCAGTTTGAGACTTAGGCACAAGTCTGACCTCTGAAGCCAAGTGAATGGCTCCACAAATGAGAATCTACACCGGTTCAGTGTGAGCCCAAATCTGCTTCCGCTCCTGTTCCATCCCTAGGAGCAGAGCCAGGTGAAGCACTGACAGCTTGGGGAGTCCCGTTCTGGAATGCTGGGGTGCAGCTCAAAAGCCTTCTATGGACACGGCTGAAGTCCCCAGCCCTGAGAGCCAACCCCTTTGGCAGCAAAGAATCCCGGCTGCGTGAGGCTGGCCTCGTCTGGAGCACAAACCAAGCATCCCCTCCTGCTGCTGCTCCAGCTCTGGGCTGCTGGAACATGATCATGGAAGCCTGGAGAGGTTTGGGTTGGAGGGACCTCAACCCCTGTAGGCACTGGGAGCTGCTCCAAGGTCTCCCTGCAGCCTTCTCTGCTCCAGGCTGAGCCAGGCAGGTGCAGAAGGCCCCTGCTGTGGGGCACCCCCAGGTTTCGTCCCATGGGGTTTAAAGCATCCCTGCTCAGTTCCCCACCAGCAGAGTGAAGGAATGAGTCAACCTAGAGACTGGCCGCATTGCCAGAGAAACCAGCCTCCTGGTAACTCCAGAGCCTATGTGGGAGCGTTGCTGTGGCTCTGCAGAGCCTTCAGCTGCCTCCCGAGCTGCAGCCCTCGTGCTGGGGACTGCAGTGAGGGAATGCCATGGGACACAGCTCCATTGGGGGCCACTCATCACAGCTCCTGGGGCTGCACACACACAGAGAGAGGTTCAACCCCGTGTCTTGTCCTGGGGATTGCACCAGAACCCCCAGAGCGTGAGCTGCAGGTCAGGGAGGGGATGCTCCCCCTCTGCTGTGTGAAGGGGAGACCTCAGAGCAGCTCCAGTGCCTAAAGGGGCTGCAGAAAACCTGGAGAGGGGCTTGGGACAAGGGATGCAGGGACAGGCCAAGGGGAATGGCTTTAACCTGCCCGAGGGGAGACTGAGATGAGCTCTTAGGCAGAAGCTCTTCCCTGGGAGGGTGCTGAGGCGCTGGCACAGGGTGCCCAGAGAAGCTGTGGCTGCCCCATCCCTGGCAGTGCTCAAGGCCAGGTTGGACACAGGGCTTGGAGCATCCTGCTCCAGTGGAAGGGGTCCCTGCCCGGGACTTCAGATGAGCTTTAAGGTCTCTTCAACCCCAAACCATTCCATGATCTCGCCACCATTAGAATCATGCATTGTGGGGGGGCTCAGCTGGTTCCTAAGGGGGGTACAGGAGCACTGCCTGTGCTGGTCACTGTGATCGCAGCAGTGGAGCCATCCCTCCTCCAGCTCCATTTGCAGGCATTCCTCAGGCATCCCAAGTTCCACACAGGGAACCTCTTGCTGCTCTTCCCCAGAACCCCAGGATCCTGCCAGGAACACGTGGGCACCCACCACTGCATCCCAGCTCCAGCTGGGAATGCCCCTGACAGGGTGAGCATCAAACCACCTGCAGGACCTGCCCTGACGGCTCCATCTCCAACCCCTCCCTCTCTGTGCAGGGAGGAGGACCTGGGGCTGGTCCAGCCTCCCCCCACCCAGAGGCCAGTACCCAGGGAGGGCTGCACCAGCACAGGGCTGACTCGAACTGGGTAAGTGGGTCAGGCTGGGTATCCCCTTGGATTAGCCACAGCAGCTCTGTGCTTAACCTGCGCTCTGCCTGAGTCAGCCCCATGCACCAGATGTTGATCCTCCTCCTCCTCCTCCTCCTCCTCCCAGGCTTCCATTTGTGGTGGATTATTGACCATGGTTTAACCCTTCCTCCTCCAAACCCAGCAGAGGCTCCTTGAATCCCATTTTCGTTGGGAAGCAGAGGGAAGCTGGAGCCACTGGCTCTGGCTGCCAGCCTGGAGAATCAGGGAATCCAGGAATGGTTTGGGTGGGAAGGGACCTTAAAACTCATCTAAAGCCCCGTGCAGGGACTCCTTCCACCTGAGCAGGCTGCTCCAACCTGGCCCTTGTGTCCTAACTCCACCAGTAATCCCCCGGCCTCCCTCTAATGAACTGTTGCTTATTCCTGCAGGATTAGGGTTGATATGTCACCATAAACAAGGAGATTGTTCTATTAATGCTCCGAGCAGCCCATGTAAGCACACTAATCCCCTGCTTTCATTGTTCTTACCCATCCAACTTCAATTGTGCTCAACATCTGTGGTGGGAGGGTGCGGGATGGCTTAAGGGTATCCATTCTGCTGCTTCACAGAGCAGGAGACCCTGCAGGCCTCCGGTGATGGTGATGGTGCTGGAGCTGGGGCAGCTGATCTGATTGAGGACCGTCTGTGTTGGCCTGTGTGGCACTGAGTTAAAGTGGGGGTGAGAAATGCTCTGCGTAGGGATGGGAGATGAACCGTGATGTGTTTGTAAGGAAGGTGCCAAGGTGGGAGCAGGCTGGACCCGAATCACTCTGTGACTCCAGGAAAAGCCAGGATCCTCCCTCCCTTCGCTGCACTGTGCTTCTCACCCCATGGACAGGGTCACTGCTCTGCCTGCAGGAGCTGCTCAGGCCACGCTTCCCTTGGGAAAGGCTTGAGCTCACTGACTCAGATATTCCATTATCATTCCCGTGGCCTCTCAGCATCTCATTCAACCCACCAGAGAAAAGCAAATCCCTTGGGACAGGGCTATTCCAGTTTGGAGTGGGACCCATCCTGGCGTTCCCAGGCAGGACCTTGTAGCTGTCAGCCCTAAACCAGCACCAGCCTTTGTTTGCTGCCCACTTTGAAATGCAGATTTTGATAGAGTCACCTTGTTCTTTCTGTAAGTAATTCAGAGGCTGCACCAAAACGTGGTCATGGGAGAAGCCCTCAACTGACTGATGCTTGTTTCAGCTCAAACCTATCAAGGTGGAGGCCAACAACAGAGCTGCAAATCACAGAATCCCAGCCTGGTTTGGGTTGGAAGGGACCTTAAATCTCATCTGCAGCCACAGGCAGGGACCCCTTCCACCGGAGCAGGATGCTCCAAGCCCCTGTGTCCAACCTGGCCTTGAGCACTGCCAGGGATGGGGCAGCCACAGCTTCTCTGGGCACCCTGGGCCAGCGCCTCAGCGCCCTCCCAGGGAAGAGCTTCTGCCTAAGAGCTCATCTCAATCTCCCCTCGGGCAGGTTCAAGCCATTCCCCTTGGCCTGTCCCTGCATCCCTTGTCCCAAGCCCCTCTCCAGGTTTTCTGCAGCCCCTTTAGGCACTGGAGCTGCTCTCAGGTCTCCCCTTCAGGAGCCTTCTCTTCTCCAGGCTGCCCCAGCCCAGCTCTCTCAGCCTGGCTCCTATGGGAGCTGCTCCAGCCCCACGGCCTCCTCTGGACTTGCTCCAGCAGCTCTGTGTCCTTCCCACATGGAGGACCCCAGACCTGCACTCAGCATTTGAGCTCCATCAAGGAGGAGAGACAGCCCCTGCTCAGAGACCTGCTGCACACACACAAAGGACACAGCTGCCCCCGGGGCACCCACCAGCCACCAGCAAAGCTGGGGCAGGCACCCAAAGCTCCAGCCACCGTGGCCCAGCCCTCCTGCTCACCCCACTGCTGACCTTCTCCTTCCATCGCTGCAAGGCCAGCACGAGGCAGGCTCACATTGATGCTGGTTCAAGTTTGATGCAGGCTGATGTCAAAAGCAGCCTCCAAATGCACTGGGACACTATGAAGTGACCCGAGTGGATCGGAACCAGGCTGTTCTGTGTCCCTGCAAGATGACGAGAGACTTCGCTTGTCTCTTCTCATCAAAGAGCAGCCAGGACATCTGCTCATCTCTTCTCCTTACTATTTCTAGGCTTGGTTACAACAGGATTTGGTTCAAAGGCTACTTTGTGAAGCAGAAGGTCGAGCAAGCTGGGTAATTTGGGCAGGAATCAGTCGATATGTGGGCTAATACAGACTTGCCTTTGTAACCCAGTTCAGAAAAGCAATTTACTTCTGGGTTAGCATCAGCTCCAACCATCTGACATGAAGCTAAAAGGGCTGATTTCAGAGCAGACACTGTGAATCTGGAGGCTTTGGGCATTTTAGGATGATAAAAGCCACTGGATTTCCTTGTGAGGGACTTCAGCTTCCCACTGCAGGCCTGTGCTTTGGGGTGAAGCTCTCCTGCCACCCCAGCCCAGTGCAGCTGCTGCACAACAGCTTCTCTCCCAGCACCTGGGTGTCACCAGCTCCGTGCTGCAGCACATGGGGGAGATGCCACATTCCTGCTGTCAGCCTCCCTCTGACACCCCAGGGGCCACGGACACATCCTTAGGGATGTGGTTGGAAGGAGCAAGAGCTCATCCTCCTGGGCTTGGCCAGCAACAAGCTGTGCTGACAGAAAGCAACCTCCCCTGGGCTCACTCAGTTGGGTAAACTGGGTTCAGGGGACATTGTTTGGACTTAGAAACACCAGATATTTCATAGGGAATCATGGAACCACAGAGTGGTTTGGGTGGGAAAAGACCTTAAAGCTCATCTAGATCCATGGGCAGGGAACCTTTCCACTGGAGCAGGTTGCTCCAAGCCCTGTTGAGCACTGCCAGGGATGGGGCAGCCACAGCTTCTCTGGGCACCCTGTGCCAGCGCCTCAGCACCCTCCCAGGGAAGAGCTTCTGCCTAAGAGCTCAGCTCAGTCTCCCCTCGGGCAGGTTCAAGCCATTCCCCTTGGGAAGGCATTCCATACTGACAGGAGCTGGAACATCCCAGACACAGGGACTGAGGAGATGAGTGAAGCTCAGTGTGGTCCGTGCTCAGATCCTAGAGGGACCAAGCCCTTACAAATGTCTGGCCTTCCAGGAAAGGCAACTGGAAGCACACAGCATTCCGATAAGGAAAGCTCTGTTCTCCAGGGAGCAATGCAGAAGACACAGCCAATACTCTGCAGGCTGGTGGGTGGCAGAGAGCCTGCAGTGGAATCACAGCACTTGAGCTAATCATAGGTACCTTCACTGCTAGCAAATGCACTTCTCCAGACTCCACCAGGGGCAATGAGAGCACAGCCAGGTCTATGCAGGTTTGAATCCCCGTGTGCTGCACCAGCTTCTCATTCAGAGCAGAGTACGTGGTGAATTATAAGCAGGAAAACCCACACACATCTGCTTCCCTGCCCTTGAGCTCCAGAAAACACACATTAAACCTTCAGCTTGGCGACATTAAACCTTCAGCTTGGTGACATTAAACCTTCAGCTTGGTGATACATCCCTCGGGCACAGTGAACAGGGCTGGGCTTGGACCCTTTACACACATCTCAAGCGGGATGAAGATCCCTCAGGAGCTGCAGATTCCTGCTCCTGTCAGCGGAATCCGGAGCAGAGAACCCGGGGTTACCTCTTGGTGTTGTGGATCGTGGTCCCACCGAGCACCACGCGGACACCCGGGTTGGTGCGGTTCAGGTTGTAGACAGCCAGCGCCTCCTCGTAGGTCGCCCCTCCAATGATGAACACGATGATATCCTGGGGCCTGCATCAAGATGCAACCATGGGGATGGGATCAGACAACACCCAGGGATCAATCCTGCCCTCCCCAGGCAGTGCTGAGGCAGCGATCCTGAGCACGTCCCTCCCCAGCCCAGGAGGGATGCGACCACGCAGCCCATTAAATCCCTGCTCCAGCACTGGCTCTCCTAAACGTTTACAGGAGGTGCACGCGGTCCTCAGAAGCCTCCTCAGCAGCACCCACCCGCTGCAGCCCGCGGAGCTCCTCCGTGACACATCCCCAATGTTTAATGCATGAGCCAGACGCCGGGGAATCAGGAGCAAGCCAGGAGTCACCCGAGGACAGCAGCGATGCTCCAGCCCTCCCGGGCTCGGTGTGAAGGGCACAGCTCAGCTGCAGGCGGCTGTTACCCTCCCTGGCCAGCATACAGCCACTGGATGGCAGAGGGAAGCAGCATGAGGGGAGAGGAGGGGAAGGAGAGAAGTGCCTTTGCACAGCACAGCACAAACCCAGCCATATGCTGTGCACATTCTGCCTTCAAAGGAAACTTGCAGCTTCCCCCAGCACCCTCCCCAGCCTCGGAAGTTTTCCACTTGCAGGGATGTGCTTGCAGCCCCTAAACCAGCTCTGCTGCCAGCTACAAGCTGAGAGAACCATTCCTGCAGGATCCCCATGGTGGATCCCATCCAAGAGAACCATTCCTGCAGGATCTCCAGTGTGGATCCCATCCAAGAGAACCATTCCTGCAGGATCTCCAGGGTGGATCCCATACAAGAGAACCATTCCTGCAGGATCTCCAGGGTGGATCCCATACAAGAGAACCATTCCTGCAGGATCTCCAGGGTGGATCCCATACAAGAGAACCATTCCTGCAGGATCTCCAGGGTGGATCTCATCCAAGAGAACCATTCCTGCAGGATCTCCAGTGTGGATCCCATACAAGAGAACCATTCCTGCAGGATCTCCAGCATGGATCCCATACAAGAGAACCATTCCTGCAGGATCTCCAGTGTGGACGCCATCCAAGAGAACCATTCCTGCAGGATCTCCAGGGTGGATCCCATCCAAGAGAACCATTCCTGCAGGATCTCCAGCGTGGATCCCATCCAAGAGAACCATTCCTGCAGGATCTCCAGGGTGGATCCCATCCAAGAGAACCATTCCTGCAGGATCTCCAGGGTGGATCCCATCCAAGAGAACCATTCCTGCAGGATCTCCAGGGTGGATCCCACCCTGTTGCTCATCTGTTTGAGTCAGAGCAGTCAAGTCTCTTCCCAACAAACCTGTTGCAGCCTCGAAAATCCCCTCTGCTTTCCAAGCAGGTACCTCTAGAACACAACCACTGAGGCGGTGGAAGCAGCAGCTTCATCTGCTCTGTGTAAGCTTTGCATCAGTGACAAAGCACATGGAGCATGAGACTGGGATGACCCTGGAATGCACCTGAACTCTGCTTCCTTCCTGCTGAGAAGCCAACCTGGGCATCCCAGCGATGAACATCAGGGAATGTGGCTCCAGGGCTCCTCAGGTGAGCTCCCAGTTTAACAGCTGAATATTCCAGCACTTCACACAGGAGGAAAAAGCAACTTCCTTGAATAACCAGGAGCCAAAGTTTTGCCTTAGAAAACATCCATGGAAAGCAATCCCTGCTACAGAGGAGCTGGAGTATATGATTCAGAACAGGACCACCCTCCCTGTCCTCCAGGGCAGAGTGTGTGAGCTCAGCTGAGAAAGCATCCAGCCAAATGGCTCCACATTCCATGCTGCAAGCTGCTGCTTCCAAAAAAGGAGACCTGATCCTCAGTGCCTGAGGGAACACCTCACCCATCCCTTCAGCTGGGTGTCAGCCAAAGACATGTCCAAAGGGTTCCAAATGCTTCTTCTCCTCAGGCAGTCAGCAGGAACACTCACCTTCACAAGATCACAGGCAGAAAGACTGTGTCCAGCCACAGAATGCTCTAAACTAGATGAGAAACTAGCTCTAACCTGAGCTGTGATGGGCCTTTAGACAAGGGAACTTCCTAAGACGTGTCAATAAGGAGGTAAATAACTGTGGTAACCTGGGAGAGACATAGGATGAGCTGAGCCTGGATCCCCAGGGACCTTTTCCTGCTGTTTCCCAGGCTGCTGCCTGGTTCTGGCCCTGGAGGCCCCAGGGTTGGTTTTAAGTGGAGCAGTGACGCTGATGGGCTGGGTGCAAACCTGCTGCTCAGAGACATAGCAAGGTGGAAGGGACTGCAGGCTTGAGGGATACAGGACCAGGATGATGTTTGTGGGAAACAGAGGAGAAGCAAAAGGAAGCAGAATTCCTCACTGCTCTCTCCTAGGAACCCTGTTCAGTGCTCTGCAAAGAGCCCCTTTCCTTCCCGCTGAATCCGGACCAGGAGCTCTTCCTCCCTTTCAACAACGATGCATTTAATACAGCAAGAAGGAAGTTCAAAAGAATCCTTTCCAATTCTTTGCTGCTCAGGGAACTGCTTCCCTTTGATCACAAACCACAAAGCTTTGGGCCTGGCCAGGCTGAACTCCTGCCACTCACTGCAGCACCAGCCTCTGAAGGTAGCGCAGCCCCGCTTGCCTTGTGGAATGATGGAATCCTAATTCCTCACTCAAAGTGGTCTGGCATTAAGGCAAAACCAACAAATGGGCTTTTGCTTCCAAACCTGCTTGCTGAAACCTGGTTTAGATGAGCCTCCATCTTCATGGTATTGAAGAGTCAGAGCTAACACGGGGCTGCGGCCCCCACTTTATGCAGCAGGTAAAGACCAGACCCAAGAGTATTTAGGTGCCTATTTTTGGTCAGTTGGGAGTTACAAACCCTCATTCTATCAGCTCCCAAGTCTTAAACCCAACCAGATCTCCCATTTCCACCCTCCTAACACAGAAACCACCCTCACAACCACATGCCCTTAGGCTTTGGGTCATTTTGCAAACATCTGAGCCAGCAGCAGCACCAGCGGACCCGGCCACTGTCTCAAGACCAATCCCAGACCATAGGAAGACTTTGATGAATTTAAAGGAAAGAAGAGTTTGGAAGCTCTGCCTTTGTATTTTGGGATTTACTTTAACAAAAGTAGGGCAATCCCATCTTTTAGCTGAGAGACAGCCTGTGGGGAAGGGAGGGAGGTGAATGCTCCATCTCTCTTCATCCAGCTTCTGGTTTCCTTCAGTTTGAGGTAGGGATTAACCTTTCTTTGCAGGTTATTTGGAGCAGGATTCTCAGGGGCAGGTTCCTGGGCCCCTTTGCCAGACACATTTTCAAGAGGAAACCAAGTGAAAGAGCTCAGGAAAAGGGAAGGAGGAACTGAAAAGAGAAGCTAAAGGCAGAAGAGCATCGCTGTTTCTGGCTAGCTCAGGCTGGGGGTGCCTGGATGCAGTTCCTGCTGTTCTGCAGGTCTCAGTTCAGATCTACCACCAACTGCATAATCAACCTCCTCTGGCTGGGCTGAAATCCATCTCAGTCAAGGGCTGGCCTCAAGGACAGTGGTTCTGTTGCTGTTCACAACTATCAACCCCCCCAAGCCACCCTACCCAAACCCCACATCTGATGTTAAAGGGAACATGTGGAGCAAGGCCGATGGGGTTTCTTTTTGGTCTACCAGGGCCATACTAAAGGAACTGTCTCTTGTCTGACTGCAATTCCTTCTCATTCAGGACTAAAATGACATTGGCAAAGATCCAGGGAATCTCTGGGCTGATTCTCCCCACGGATCACCTGAAGGAAGCAAAGCAATGGCAGGATCTCCTCCTCCAAGGAAACTACCACTGGGAGGTTCATTCCCAGGGAGGAAACTGCAGTGCCAAAGGAAGGATTTGTCCCAAATGCTGTCCGAGGAGGACTTATCCTCTCCCTACAGATACAGTGCCCTCACTCTGAGGCCTGTATTTACCTCTCATGACTCCAGTGACAGCAGATGAGCTGAGCTCCTGCAAAGTCAGCTAGAAGCAGCCAGGGCTCTTTTCAATCCCTGTTATTAGCCATATTCAGCAAGATCCTGTTCTCCTCAGGAATAGCAACTGGCTCAGAAGGGAGAGCTTTGCAGTTGGACTATTTTTGGGACTCTCCAAATAAACACCAGATGGCATGGACTGAAGTTAGGGGGCACGTTGGAATCCAGCATGTGAACATCCTGGCAGCAACGGCTCCATCCTTTACCTGAGCCCTTACAATGGCAATGTCACATCTTGGCCAGCAAGAAAAAGACAACCTTGATAGTCCTCTCCTTGGGAGTACAAGAAAGACCTACACAATGAAGCCATTTCTCTGCCAAGCCTAAACCTTGTTCAGCTACAACAAAGCAAGTGGCCACACGGGAAGGAGCTGCTGTTAGTTCCAAGCTGTGCCCCAACAGGCCCCACATACCTGTCACGGAGAGTGTTGGGACCCAGGTAGGGATACTGGCTGTCCTTGAGCTTTCCTTTGATGAGCTGATCTAGTGTCTCCTGCAGGAGAGGCTGGTGCTGGGTGTACACATTCTCAACCCCCTGCAGTGTGAGAGAAGCTCTTGTTAGGAATTCATCCAGCAAAGGCAGCAAGAGAAGAGAGAAGGTGGGCAAAGGCAGCATCTGATGGCTACATCATGTGCTCACCACCAAGCTCCAGCAACTAACTCCCATGGGCTTCAATGAGAATTATGCCCTCAAAGCCCAGTGCATTTCCTGGTGCACCTCTGACATCCCTGCTCTGTGAAACAGCCATCACTTCATCCAGGTCACATCCATACCTTCAGTCCTTTGAGGAACTGCTTGGTGATGGCTACAGCATCCTTGGGACTGAACAGGTCACTGCCCCGGACCCGTTTCCCTCCATACTCCACAACAGCAGACACCAGCTGTACAGAGAGAGGCAAAACCAGACCCCTGTTATCCTGGGAAGCAGCTTCCAGGCA